GGGGAAGAGACGTAGAGTATGTGTTTCAAATGATTTGATTTTTTTGCGATCCTGATTATCGCTTTATAGAGACCACCCGTGTTATGTAAAAAGGTAGCAGTAATTTTGATAATGACACGAAAATGAAGCGTCGGACAAACAGGAAATTATGCAGCCCTCAGGCTGTTTTCATTTTCGCAGGCTAAAAGTGTCTGAATTGTTCGGTTATTGGTGTTGAATGTCGAATTCACACCTTTGTTGCCTTTACTTGCAGCTTGATCGACGTAAAAATTTACGGACTAAGAATCCGAGCTTGAGCTGTCAATGTATTTTTTTAATATGATGTCATAATCATGAAAATTACGCTAAATCCACTCTGAATTTGTCTGTATGTGAGTCGCTCTCAATAATTTTTGTTATCGAATTAAGCGCCGCCATTCACGCACTCATGACCCGACACGTTCACCCATTACAACGCGGCAGTCATTTATTCAGTAACTGTGTTTTTTGTTTTTTTTTAAATTATTTCTCTATTTTATAAATCAATAGTGTCTAGTAACCTGCTAAATAACAAGACAATTCAGCAGTCAAATTCGATTTTGTCCAATGCCGGAGTCCAGCAACAGTGTACAAACGTGCTCCGGTGACGACCACGGTGACCAGCGACACCAGACCGGACATATTTCGCATCTGACTCAACCCCTATGCAACAAACTTCATACAATGTGTTCATTATGGTCCATTCTTCCTCGACGAACAAGTACATAAGTGGCAATTTAGTCAAAGACAAGAAAACAGCACAAGAAATTTGCCTTATTTACACGTATCGGCAATGCAAGCTGCCCAGCGACTTCCCCTTCTGACGTCACAAGGGGAATTTCTGTATGCTAATGAGGAGCCTCGTTTTAAAATACACAAAAATAAAGTTTCCGTAGACTGAGTTAAAAACACATTTTTTCACTTAAAAAAATTAATTATGCTTAGAAACATAAAAATTAATAATATTTATGTATCAATGGATAATTTTAGGCGTGAAAATAGCAGCCATTTCACAGGCACTTTAATTCTAGACCAGTAATTAATAATATTTATTTTAATATCAACAAGTAATGGGAATTATCCCAGCTCTGCTCTACATGCAATATCGGTGGAAAATTTGTTTAGATTCAATAGTTGTTTGCAAAATTTTTCTGTTGATGTTTTATCCCAAATTTTTGCATCATATAATAAGACAGGTTTTACAATTGTCTTGAAAATATGGATAACTGTTTTGCAGTCATTTTCTTCTGGCATGTATTTTAATTCTAAATACAACTCAATTGTTATATATCTATTTCCTAGTTACATCCGGTTTTGGCTCGTTTGGTCCACCAAAACCAACTAAACCAGCCACCAGTAAGGGTTTTGGGACACATGTTGAATCCTCTGTCTCCTCTGAGTCTGGAAAAAACAAGAAAGTAGATGACAACATGGATGAAGATGATGCTATGTCGAAGATGATGGGATTTGCAGGATTTGGTGAGTAGCATACATGTCTACACATCTTGTTCTGGTACATGTATACAGATGTATACAGTTATGATTTGATTAGCAGCAATGCCACCAGGAATTTTGAGCCCAGTGAAAACTGCTGTGATTTATCTACAAAATGGAGCCTTTGAGTTCACCCTGAAAATATGTGTATCTGTTTCACTGTTATCACAAGACTGTCTTTGATGTTTGTTAACAAAAATCCTTCTTGTTATATTCATATGTAGGTAAAAAAGCCCGGTCATTTGATTTGGACACTATGCTTGAACAGACAAAAAAGACTGCCATGGAAATCAGTAAAAAAAATCTAGAAGTTGCAGACAAAACAGAGGACAATAGTGAATCAGAAGATGATATGATTGGTAAGGTAATTTGGTTAACATTGCTTTTACACTCAGTTTTAATGCAATGTTAATAGATTATAAATTTACAAAGTTATTAGGAGCTATATCTCGGACACCCATTGACGGATTTCATTCAAACTCTACACGAAGACAATACATAATGTCTTACATATGTGCGTCAAGTTACTTTATGATTTTTTTTCGTGATTAGAA